ATAGAAAAAAAGGAACCCTTATACATTGTTGGTGGAATGCAGACTGGTCCAACCGCTATGGAAAGCTGTGCAGAGGACCCTCAAATTACTAAAAATAGATCTACCATATGTCTCAGCAGTTCCACTCCTATGATCTACACAAAAGACACAAAATCATTAATTCAAATGGAAACCTGCACTCCAGTATTCATTGCAGCACTATTTACAATAGCTTAAATATGGGAACAACCTAAGTGTCCAAAAACAGAAGACTGGATCAAGATGTGATATGTGTGTGTACACACACATACACACACACGTGCATGTATGTGTATATATATATATCTACATATACATGCATACACACAGTGGATTACTACTCAGCAATCAAAAAAAGATAAACTCATGTCATTCACAGGAACATGGATGGAACTGTAAGGGATATGGCCAGTGAAATAAGTCAGAAGGAAAAAGAAAAATAGCAATGATTTTACTTACAAAAGGCATATAGGGAAAGCAAACATGGGGCAGGGGAGGAAAAAAAGACAAAACTAGCAGGCAAACTATAAATCAGAGATGGGAAGGGAGAGAGATCAAAACAGGGGAAGGAAAAGCACAGACTATGGTGACTGTGAGTGACTTGGTGGTAGCAAATTTATGGAAATTACACCTGAGAGGAAAAATCAAACATTATAAAAAATGAATAATGATACAAAATCATTACTGTTTTTATGTACTAGTAGTGAAGCAATGGACAGTGGATAAAATCATCCTCAGGATAATGGCAAGAAAATGATAGAGTTCTTGGGATAAATGTAACATGGTTTGCACAAAGCCAGTATACTGAACACTACAAAACATTGCTTCAGGAATTAAAGGAAAATTAAGTAAAGAGGTATAATATGTTCATGACTTGGAAGACATAATATTATAACAGTACCTTTTCTTTCCAAATTGATCTGTAGATTTTATGTACTATCTATCATTTTTTTAAATTTTGATAGAAATAGATAAGTTAATTGTAGAATTTACATGACTATGCAAATGACCTTTAATAGACAAAATAATCTTGAGAAAAAACATAGTTGGAAACCTTACAAAACCTGATTCTAAGATTTACAATAAAGGTACAATCATCTTGAAAGTATGGCATTAGCATAAAGATAAATATATAAATAATGGTAACAGAATAAAGAATCCATATTAGTCAGTTTACTTTTTTCCATATTAATCAATTTTTAATCCATATTAGTCAATGGATTTTCCCCCCAGTGAGAGAATGGGGTAGTCTTTTCAACTAATGATCTTTAAAAAAGTGGATATCCATATAAATTTAATTAAAGTTCACCCTCACCTCACAGTCATACTGAAAAATTTCTCAAAATGGATCCCTATTTAAATACAAAAACTGAAAACATTCAACTTATAGAAGAAAACTTTGTGACCTTGATGATAGGCCACAAAAAGATCTAGTCATAAAAAAATTATGTTACATTTCATCAAAATTAGTTATCTTTGGTTTTTAAGAGACATTAAGAAAAATAAGCCACCATTGAAAGAAAGTGTATAGGTGACATATATCTGATATAAGATATATACCCCATATATTAAAAAAAATATTTTATACAATATAAGAAGATACACAACCTGGTAAAACATTAACAAAATTTTTAAACACACACTTCATGAAAGAAGGTTTTTGAATAACCCTAGGCCCATGAAGAGATGTTCGATAGTATTAGTCACTGGGGAAATATAAATTAAAATCACAAAAAAAATGTATCACTAATATCCACCAGACTGGGTAAAAATTTTAAAAACAGACAATAGGAGGAACAACTAGAATTCACTCTCCTGACTAGTAAAAGCATACAATGGTATATAATCACTTTGTAATTTCTTACAGCTCAGTAATTATACCCCTAGGTATTTACCAAGTGTATGAAAACATATGTCCATGCAGAGACCGTGTAAGACTATTCAGAGAAGCTTTTGTTTCAGTTAAAAAAAAAAAATGTTTTAAAAATAGTCAAAGCCTGGCCCTCCCTAGTGGCACAGTAGGTTAAAGCGCAGCACTATGAAGCTGCCTACAGCAACTTCAGCATGAGTTCAATCCTGAGCCAGGAAGATGACCCACACAGTCCAGCAGACTCACATGCCTTGTCCACTACTCCCCTCAGCAGTGTACTTTGTCAGTCAGCCTGCTCTGCTCCCAACTTTGTCCCCAGTGAATCTTCTCATCACCCTGTACCCCTGTTCTGTATGCATAAATAAATAAATAAGTTTAAAAAATAGTCAAAGTCTGGAAACAGCCTCTGTGCTCTTAAATAGGTCAGTGGGTAAATAGGGAAATCCATATGTGGAATGCTATTCTTTTTTTTTTTTTGTTTTTCTTTTTAAAGATTTATTTGTTTATGCATATAGAATGGGGGTACAGGCCAGAGGTGCAGGGGTGGTGAGAGGCCTCACCAGAGACAGAGTGGGGAAAAGAACAGGCAGATCTATGAGGTACACTGCTGAGGGGAGCAGCGGGTGGGTCAGGAGAGGTCTGCCTTACCATGTGAGTCACCTCTAGGGCAGGGATCTAACTCATGCGGAAGTGGCTTTAACTTCTTAGTGCAGCGCTTTAACCCGCTGCACCACCAGGGAGGGCCCTTGGAATGCTATTCTATAATACAAAGAGAATAACTATTGCTATCTGCCACCAAAAAATGGACAAAGCTCAGAGAAGTTACATTAAGCAAAACCTCGCTTGCTCAAAATCAAGTCAGGCCTAAGGAGATTCAAACCTGGACAATGAAAAGGATGGTTTGGGAAGAAAGGTGAACAGTTTGACTTTCAGCACATAGGGCTCAGCTCACAGTTTCAGGCTTCCTGCTTGGGTTTGTTCAGTCTTGTTGAAACAGGATGAAGTCTCCCTGGGAGAAAGGTTCAACTGGCCTTGAAACAAAGAAGAAGCTGAGCCAGAAAAATAGCAGGAAAAGTCATCAGAGACATAGAAAAATGGAAGAAAGAGACTATAGGACTATAGAGGAAAGGTTTATCCATGAAGGGCAGGGTCAAAAATACTAAGAAGAGTGAAGACCTCACTGATCCTGTGTAGTAGGAATATCAGAGCCATAGCTTTGAAGTCAGTTTAAGAATCCTGATGTTCCTGCTCACTGGCTGACTTTGGGCAGTTACTTTCCAGTCTTTTAAGATGAGTATAAATAATGGTTTTCATTCTGAGCATTCTGAGACAATATATAGACTAAAGCACTTAGGACAGACCTAAATATACTTTAGTTTCTGATGCTGTTATCATTAGCAAGTTGTCATCTCATAATTTTAACTAATATTAAGTATTTGCTATGTAACTAATGATGTGCTTTTGGATTTGTATGGATCATTTATTTCATAGGTAACTTCCCAAGGTGACAGTGTGCACTGCATGTATAGCAGTGCAGGAAGTCCAGCTCAGAGCCTGTGTTCTCAGCTTTTTCTAACAGAACATTTTCAGGAGGGAAAAAACTGGCCTGCCAAGTGTTTAGGGAAAGGGAGAGATGAAGGAAACTGACAAATTGCAGAATATTATTCTAGGAAATTTAAAGGTAGAACAAGGGAGAAGAAAGAAGTAGAGTCACAGTAGATTTCTGAGGAGAGGCTTGAGCACTGAGCTTCTCTGGAGATTGTTTTAGTCAATGAATAGAATGTCTAAAGTCCATTCAGTAGCGTGCATTATTGAGTGACTGTTGTATGAGCTTAGAATCCTCTTTAATGTAAAAGATATAGGACATTTTCTCTAAGGAAGTTGCATACAGTCAGTCTCATCTGCCTTAGGCTGTGTGCTCAGATGATCTTGGCTTCAGGATAGCAGATACTGTACCTGGTGTTCTTAAACTTCTGATAGAAGCCCTTAGTCACTATCCATCTCTCCTTTTCATTATTGTAGTGACAGGTCTTGAGAACATGGGTGCAAAGATCAAGCCCCCTGTCTTTTGTTGCCCACCATGTTGACAAACACAGGATGAAATAGGGAGGAAATGGGTGGGAACTAAGGCCAGGGACTTACCGGTCCCTTTCCCATATAAACTATTTAGTGAAATTCAAGTTGTTTATCAGACTACAGGAAGTGATCACCACTGGGTGAACAGTTTCTACCACCACAGGTATAGAGGAGAGAAAGAGAAACTATTTTTCTGTGTAATCTTGGATATTCCCTATGGGTTACAAATGGCAAATGTGTGTCTAGGCTTAGGATTTTCATTGATCACAAAGACAGTTCCGGCCTGGAGGCTGAGAGTAGATTCGCTTTCTCTGCTGATTGCATGGACATTTACAAACCAATGAATAAAATGTTATTCTGGCAACAATGGTTTAATTACGGCATGTATAAAGCTAGGTGGCTTGTGAGGAGAAGTGTAATTTATAAGGGGTGAAACTTCTACCCCCATGAAGGACCAGGTTAAGTTTACCATAAATATAACTTCCTCTGAAGTAGCTACAGTTATATTGATTATACATTAAGAGAAATATCTTTAATACTCCACTAATTCCACCAGGACAATATTGAATAACAAGATTTTTCCTCCTGAATTTTTGCAATGAACTTAAAAGAAAAAGGTCTTAAGTTTCACTTAACTTAGTTTCAGTTTTCCTGCATGGCATTTCCATTTTTATTTCAGTCTTTCATTGAAAACATAGAGGTGAGAAAAAAAGAAAGAAAACATAGAGGTGAGATTAAAAAACTGAAGGTTGCTTGGCATGTTTACTGCTTTTAAGTTACCTTTTCTATAGATTTGCTTATAGAATTTGATAATTTGTTTTTAAATTGTCACTCAATGATTGCAAGAAGATTGAGATAATCAAATTGTGTTTGTGGATTTTTCTTTTCAAATGTCTCAAGTATACTCTCAAGAGCTTTTGAAGAATATAAATTATTGTGAAATATTTTTAAATGTTAACCTGTATATGATTTTACACATTGCTTAATCACAATGCTTTTTTTTTTTTTTCTCTCGCTCTCTTTTAATTTAATGTAGAAATAGGCAACAAGAAGTATTACAAGTACAGCAAAGAGAAGACATTAAAGTGGCTGGGGAAAAAGGTATGGTGCCTTTCTGATACCTTTTGACATATAAAGTATAATTTCCTTTTTAATATTTGGAGAAGATGGTCAGTCTGAATCCAAAGCCCATCTTGTACATAACACTAAAGAGGAAAATTATCAAGATATGCAAGTGGAAGAGTCTTTTGCTTTTTATCTTCCCTAACTTGTGCTCTCTAGGTTTAGCTCGATGTTCTCCTGTCACCTACAATCCCATTTCTGTGTGACCTAGTAAATTAAAGAAGTTCTTGGCATTTATTGATACAGATGTGAGTCTTCCAAGTAAGCTAGTATAGACAGGCCTGATGTACATTTACTGTTGTAGACCCTACAGGTATCTTAGAGGTTGATATTACCCATACAGAGCCAGGCAGGGCTGTGAGGCAGCGGGATGCATATCTTGAGGAAGTGCACCCCACTTTCGATGTCACCAGGCTGTGGAGGGTTCACCTTCCAGGCAAACTTTGTATCTTCCTGATCCAAAGTACCACTTTATATAAGATCTGGGGAAGTGATTTTCAAATCAATGTATAGGTCATAACTAATATTTCTCTGGGAATGGGATATGGTAGGGTAGGAAAGGATATATTAAGACAGAGTACAGAATAAGGGCAAGTATGAAGTGTGGCTCTGTAAAGCATGTATTTACATACATGTTTGGGTATTGGGCTGCTGTGTGTTTTTACTGTGGGCTATGAAAAACAAACAAATACCTTTGAAAGCCACTTGTCTAAAGTTGTTATGCACTTTCACATGATTAAGAAACTCACCAGATCAGATCTGTTGATGCCAAATTTTTGTAAGTTTGGTAGATACCAGTACTGATTCTTCATATTCTCTCTCTTGTAGGTGGAAAACATGTTAGTTTGTCTGATGGAAAACATGTTAGTTTGTCAAATCAAATTACTGGGCACATTGTAAACGTGGGAACATGGAAATGAACCCTGTAGAATTAGGCTTCTGCTAATCAAAGTAGTGAAAAGGTTTTAAAACTGCTCTTACATTTCACTTTTCAGTGGTTTTTGTAGTAGAATTCTATGTACGTGTGTGTATGTGTGTACATATATATGAGTATAAATGCTGAACAGAATTTAGCACTTAGTTTGTATTTTCAGCAAATAATAATGAAATAAAAATAGCAAGTTTGTTTTTATTATTACTATTTCTAAATTCTTAGGAAGTAGGAAATTTATATTAATCTGTTTAGGAATGATGACCTATAAATGTTGTGCTTGGTTCTGTTCTGAGGACTTTACTCATTTAATCCTTAGCAATCCTAAAATAGTTACCATTTTATTTCCATTTCACAGATATAGCACAAAAAGATTCATTAACTAGCCCATAGCTGCAGAGCAGTCCCAAGCAGCCTGACACCAGGGTTAGAGCTCTCAGTTGCCCCATGTGCTCTCTCACACTGGAGGCTTGAGGAGTCCATGTGCTGAGATGTTCCAGAGTGGTGGTCTTTCTCAGCAGCCCTCGCTGCTCTTCTGATATCTGACAAAGATATTTCTGGGCCCTCATATGCTTCCCTAAGTGGATTGGCAACCACCTGGAAAGTTAAGGAGTTTTAAAGTTCTATAGTTGAAAATGCCTTTTGGTTATTTTGTAGGTTAATCAGACTATAGCAGCTTTAAAAACCAATAACGTGAATGTCGGTGCCCATGTAAAGTCAGCTGCATTTTTCACTAGTTGCCAGGCTTCCAGTGACAAGGAAGGTAAGTAAATTATTTCATCAGAAATGACTTTTGTCTGGAGTAAGTTGCTGTGTATAAATGCCTGTCTTGTGATCTTAAAATCTTAATGTCTCAGCAACTTTGTTTTTTGGCCAGTGCTCTCAAAGATCTTGTGGCAGGCATGCATTTCATTTTAAAGCTAAGTAATATTTCTACCATAGATCACTTATGTCACTGATTGATACTTAAGTCACTCAGTCAGCAAATACTTCTTTTACTCTAATGGTAATAGCAATCCTACTAACCCTGACTCTCATCTATTGAAGATGTATTGCATGCTGAGCCTTTCACTGGGTTGCCAGTGTACACACATCTCATCTGACCCTCCTTGTAAGTCTCGTTTACAGTCTGGAGACTGTGTCCAGGGTCACTGCAGCAGTAAGTAGTGAAGCTGAGCTACTGAGGGAGCTTGCCTCACTGCTAAGTCCTTGTTCTTAACCATTTGCTGTGCTGTTCATGTGGCACAGCACACATGCATCTGTTTGGTCTCAATGTTTTGATTTTCGATGAAAATTGATTCACTTGGCATTTTTTCTTTTACATCATTAATGTACTTTTTTTTTTCCATTTTTGTTTTTGCCACTGTAGTCTCCTCTTATTTTTATGTATGTAGCTTAATATTTTTTTAAAAAGTTATATAATGTGATCAACATTCTCAAATGATAGGACAAATTAGTCTGACTTTAAGTTCCAAATCAGTGTTCCTACTTCTAACTATTCAACTCTGAAATATCTGACTTTTGTTATTAAAAAAAAAATAAAAACAAGGAATAGTAACCTGTTTGTGATTGATTCAGCCTTTCATATGCAGAAATCTGCCTTGAAATACCTTTCACATACAGACTGCTGATTTTTACATTTTGGGAACATTGTGATTTTACCAACTGTCAATGTCTTTGATTGGCTTTAAGAAAAGAGAAGGGATTTAATGAAATGGATACATGGATGGATGGATGGATGGGTGGTTAAAAATCGTAATTTTTGTTTTAAGTAAGAGGCATTTTAGGGCTTCTTTAGGCAGATTTTATTTAAAAAATGAATAACTATGGTTTTGGAGAGGTAGATAACCTATTCATTCTAGTTCTAAGTCTGGTACTTTTACCACATCTCAATATAAAGGCCTGGGCATAGTTATAGTGCCATAAAATAAACTTTATGCTTTTTAAACCATTTCCTTTCTTAGATCTTTAGCTTGGTATGCTACCAGAAGCAGCAAATGATATGTTGGCTTGCTTAAAATAGTTTTGTCTACTCATGATTCAATGGATAATTACTAACCCAGAACCATAAGCACATTTTAAGAAGGATCCAGTGATAATTTTTAGTTCTTCATTGGCTTTTGAAAACTCTTACTGAAGACTTTTTGAGATCAAGAGGTTCCTATAGCAGTTATGTTTCTAACTAACTCTGAGGCACATTGTTACCTTAGCTTTAGGGCAGAAGAGAAAGGGGAAAGAGAAAAGCAGATGACTATACAAGCAACAAGCCTGGAATATTACTTATGGTCCTTATATCCCAGTGATTATCCCACCTTATAATTTAAGTTTACTTATCCTTGAAATACTGAATTAAGAAAAGGGCTTTAAAACAGATATTGTTGTTTTATGTAACTGTATTAAGTTGATACCAGAGCCTCACTTTATACTGAGGATCCATATTTTAAAATTAATGATTATACATTCTTCAGATTTTGGTTTTAATATTTTTAAAAGCATTTTATTGGGAAAGAGAGAGATTGTGTGTGTGTGTGTGTGTGTGTGTGTGTGTAACATTTGTGAAACTAGAACTTAATAGAGATATATTTTTTCTTCTTAAGTGAACTTGAAAAAGACCTAGAAAAGGTTAGCATTTGAAAAAGATATGAATAGTTTATTTGCTATAGCTGATTTCTGAATTTTATTTGTATTCAAGGCTCTCAACTAAAAAAAAAAAAACCATGAATTTTGTTTTATCATTTAACCATGTTATGTTTATATTATCATCATACCTTTGATATCCTATACTACATCTCCTCCATAATATCACTCCACTACTCTGACAGACAGATCCTAGCATCCCCACTTTACAAATGATGAAACTGAAGCTAAGGCTAAATAAAACCAGAATTTGAATAATCTAACTATAAAACTACCATAATTATTCCTAATTTTTTTTTCTTTCACACTCCATTCTGTTTCTTTCAGAGGATTATATTCGATATGCTCATGGTCTGATATCTGATTACATCCCTAAAGAATTAAGTGATGATTTATCTAAATATTTAAAGTAAGTATTGTAAGTATTGTATATCTCTTGTCATATTTAGGAAATACTTTTGTGCTGCTTATTTTCCTTCACAGTTTATTTTCTTTATAGCTTATATCTGTTTTTGATAAGAGATAATTAGTAATTATGTTATAGACTATAGTTCTGGGATGATTTTTAATACTGATTGGAATAAGTTGATTTGGTGGATACCGATAGTGGGAATTTGTAAATATTAGATTGGAATGGTAGGTTGATATGATTTCAGATGGTAGAACTATTACAATTTGGGCCCAGTTAGATTTTTTTTTTAATTTAACAGCAGAAAGAAAGAGTAAATGGCATGAATCTTTTTGCAAGTTACATTGAAAGGCTTAATATCATTTTCACTGTTATGCAGTGGCCTTTATTATGACCACTATTTAGAGCTAAAGAAGTTTAAAAAACAACCTCTTTGAGCAAAGGGTTTGAGGATGACTTGATTTGTGTTCCTTTCTTTATAAAGAACTTTAATATAAACAATTTGCCTTAGGCTGAAAAAAATATTTATTTTTCAGATCTTAGCAAGTTGTTAATATTTTTTCTGTGAGATGACTTAATAGTTTTTCCTAGTCCTTAAAAATCCTTTTTTTCCCTCCAGCCTATGAAGATAAAATGACTTTTTATAGATTTACTTGCTGTTTTAAGCAAATTAAAATAAAAGAGCTGATTTACAAAACAATTAGTAGAAGTTGGTATCTATAAAGTATGTTGAAACTAGCTTTAATTTATAATAATATCCTTCAGTTTAATATTTCCCTGGATTTCTTGTTTTAAGCTTCTTATTAGAGAATATATCTCTTTGTATTTCATTATGTTTTGGATGCTTTTCTTTCCACTGAAATTTTTTAAGTTTTGATTAAAGATTGGGAGAGAAAGGTAACATCCATCTAACTCTTCAATAGGAGAAAAGATGAAGTTTGTGTGACTTTTTACCAATAGTTTAAATAATTTTCACTTGTAAAATATATATGCTAGATGTCATCATTTATGAAGAAAAAAAATCCCAATGACAAAATGCAATTTTATAAGAGCTAAATAAAAGCAATTCCATTTCAACAAATGGGTTCTAATTTTATTTTAGTTCAGATAATTCCATATAAGGAATTAAATAGCCCAGTGAAGATGTTTTCATTTAGAGAAATTTCACTCTTTATACTGAAATCATTGTACAGTGACATGTGTGAAGGTAACACTATCAGATGAAAGTGGGCCTCACTAAGTCTTAGTGAGTCTTTTTATATTCTCATCTATGAAAATCATGATTGTGATTCTTATTTTCACTTCCTTAGACTTCCAGAAACTCCACCTCCATTGACAACCCCTCCATCAAAGGTAAAAGCTGTAACTAAGATATCTTTGGGGGACTTAAAAATTTACCACACTTTTATCACCTAGCTATAGTTTCTTATAGAATATTCTAAAGCATATTATTACACCTATACAGAAGATTGTTATATGGAATAGACATTATAATCATAGGCTCTCCACCAATATATTTTATTTGTGTAGCTTTTATCTGAATATAAATAAAGTGTTATGAAAACCAAGTAAGAGCTAGTTTTAGCTACATACTTATGTAAATATCTTTATGTGTATACTGATGTTTGTGTGTATGTATATATCTGTATATACATACACACAAGAAACTAATATTAAGTCATTTTGAGTTATATGTAGTTGACTCTATTAATCACCAGGAATACTCTTTATAACTAAAACTCATTTTGCCAAATTGAATTTTTACTGACATAAATGAACACAGCAATATATATATATATATATATATATATATATATATATATATATTTGTGCCACAAGAATCTTTAAGGCAAGGATGACCACTCTTTTTTTTTTTTTAAAAAAAGCTTTATTTATTTATGCATACAAGTACTGGGGTACAGGCCAAAGGTGTAGGGTGTGAGAGGATTCACCAAAGACTAGGGAGCAGAACAGGCAGACTGACTGGCATACACTGCTGAGGGGACAGTGGACCAGACAGGAGAGGTCTGCCACGCCATGTGGGTCATGCTGCAGTGGCTTCCGAGTGCTGCACTTTAACCCCTTGCCCACCAGGGAGGGCTCAACCATTCTTTTTTTGATGTACTTGAAATGAGCAATGCAATTTGTGTGTGATTTTTGCCTGCTAGTGGAAAACTTTTGCCCTTCCAGATATTACCAGATTGCCGCCCTCTGCTCCTTGACGGCAGGGCTGCAATCTGTGTTTATTCCCAGATGTGGAGAGTAGAGAAACCAGTCATAAACCATCCCTGATGGAAGCTACACCCCTCAGTCCAGGCCTGACTTTCAAACTAGAGAGACCTAAGGGAAGTAAATTAAACACTGGCACTAGCTTGTCAGTGAGATTATTGTCCAGCCAGCAAAATAATGAATGCCTTGAGAATGGACACTGGACAACACATGGATGTTAAACAGCTTTCTTTTTTCCCTGCCTTCAAGGTGGCCAACATGTTCAGAATTTTTTTGTGTCATATCCTGTTTGGAGGTAGTGGTGGCTCAAAAAATACTTTTTTAGAAAAAAGACCACAAATTTAGAGTGCAAATTTAAAGTGCATCGGTGTTAACTGTGGGCCACGTTCAGCAGATTTTCAAAGGAGGTTTATCTTTTCCTCTCTGGAGGAAAAGCACCAAGCAGAAGTCAGTGAGTTGCTGTGAGATCTGGAAAGCCCATTGTAGGTCAGACTCATGCTTTAGCTTAGAAGTTAACCTTTGACAGAAGCACTAGGAGACAGAGACACAATTGTCTTGTTAAAATTAAGAGGATATAGGGCCCTCCCTGGTGGTGCAGCAGGTTAAAGCACAGCACTAAGAGGCTAAAGCCACTTCCTCGTGAGTTTGATACCCGCCTTCCCTGGAGGTGACTACATGGCATGACAGACCTCTCCTGACCTGCCCACTGCTCCCCTCAAGTAGTGTACTTCGTCAGTCTGCCTATTCTGCGCCCCCCTCTGGTGAATCTTCACATCACCCCTGCAATTCTGGCCTGTACCCCAGTTCTGTATGCACAAATAAATAAATCTTAAAAAAAAAAAGTTAAGAAGATATGTATACTTGCTTATTTATTTTTTTCTTCCTCTAAAAAGTAAGCTTATTTCTTCCTCCCAAATATCTGTCTTCCTTAGTAACTAAGAATTAGTTCATGAATGGACCTAAACCTGTTTTTGAGGGTTTTATTTTAGCTTTTGATACTTGCTGGAGTGAGATGTTTTGTGATTTTATTTTTTCTTACCTAGTTTTCTATCTTCTCATTTTAATTTGTAGAATTTAAGTCATTTGTAATTTCATTATTTATGATTTAGATAAAGAGTGAACAAACTTCTTTAAAGGCCAGATGATAAATATTTGAGGCTTCATGAAGCAGATGGTCTCTGTCACAGCTGCTTAGCTCTGCTGTTACAGCAGAGACAGCCACAGATATTCATAAATGAATCAGCACGGCTGTGTTCCAGTAACACTTCATTTATAAAGACAGGCAGCCGGCTGCCTTTGGCCCATGGGCTGCAGTTTGCCAAGGTCTGATTTAGATCTCAGCATCTTCTCTGTCCCAAATCTCAGCTTCATCTCCTGAATTAGTTGCTTTTGAGGTCATCTTCTACTTGATCATGTCTTCCTGGGGCTTCAATGTGCCTGTTGCAATCTGTACTAGAAATGGTATTATAGTTTAAACAAGAGAAGGATGTTTTCTGCTAGCTGTCCTGTCTGTCCATGATTTGATTGACTTTTACAGTAATATAGTTGATTGTTTTCAAGAAATAGGTTGCAGCAGTTATTAGGTATCTTTGTGTCTGTATTGTAATCGATAGTCTGGAACTTGCTGTCATTAATATGTCCTGCATTATTTTTCTCTTATTATTATATGTTTGTCTATGTTGAAGCTTATCTTTCAAACTTTGCTCCTTTCAGTCTCTGTCAGCTACCAGAGCTAATCTAATCAGTGTATTTGGAGGTGCTCCTGAGTTCCTTCTTTCAAATCATTTGTAAAAATGCTAAGAGCAGTCTTGGCAATGGTTCCTGTGGCCTCTGCTCTTCTCACCAATACCTCTTTAGTCATATACTTTGTTAAGTCTTTCTGAGCCACATCATCTCTTCTGAAACTTTTTTTTTTCAAATCTGTACTGACTTGGCCATTTAAATAACAAAAATTGTATACAATGATGTTTTTTTCAACATATTCCACAGTGTGCTAGGAATAACATGAAACCTAGTTATATGCAGAAACGATCACAATCTTTTTTTTTTTTTAAGATTTAGTTATTTATTTATACAGAACTGGGGTACAGGCCAGAGGTGCAGGGGCAGTGAGAGGATTCACCAGAGACAGACTGGGGAGCAGAACAGGCAGATCAACAATGCATACTGCTGAGGGGAGCAGCGGGCAGGTCAGGAGAGGTGTGCAGCACCAGGTGGGTCACCTCAGGTGCAGGCGGGGATCGAATTCATGCTGAAGTGGCTTTAGCTTTTTAGTGCTGTGCTTTAACCCACTGCGCCACCAGGGAGGGCTCCCACAATCTTTTTTTTTTTTTTTTAATCACTTATAACTGGTATCTTAAGAGATGCTATTAAAACACCTGAACAAGTTGGTCATCTTATTAAATGTTTTACCTTTATTAGGTAGCAATTTCCATATTAAGCTCCCACCATAAACACTTCTTAACTGACTTATCAGTGAAAAGTAAGCATATACAATTGTTTATAATCACATCTGTATTAGGAATATTTTGCCACTTAGAAGGAACACAAAAAAGCTTATAACTGTAATCTTTTTGTGATTTGAAATTATACACTTCATCATTATTACCTGTGAGTTCTACTCTCCTGATTATTTTCTAGTAAAAATACACATTACCTAATACCCTTTGCAGATACAGATTCTTAAGAAAGTTTCTTATATACATTTCATTTGTATGGTAGGTTATTCATGCAAGATAAATTTGTCTTTTTAAAATCCATTCAATAGAGGTTGATGGGTTGCTGAGAGAAGTCTTTCCCACGTTGTATGATCTATCTAGGATGCCCTAGCATGTTGTCTTATCCCTTCATGTTGTATGCGCTGTGGCATCTTTTAGCACCAGTTCTACCAATTCTTTGTTGGCAAAAGCTGGATTATAAAGAATGAAACTGGCAATAAATATGCATTCCCTTAGACCAATTCATGTTGGGTCTTGTCAACCTGGTATATCCACAAAAAGCTTGAAGATTTTTAACTATTTTCATTTGACCACCATGCAGTTAATTCCGTGTTAAGCATCAAGGTTTTCTGCTGTGTGCCTTCTATTGTATCACTATTCCTTCTAAGTTATGAACAGTAAGACCATAGTGTAGCTCTTGACATGATCCTCACATTCATTGTTACAAAGAGCTGTTGTGAAAGGTGAAAACATGAAATAAAGACTGACTTTGTTGCACACTACCTAATTAAAGGTCATTTGGTATAAAAATTGAGACCTGTCTCTAAGTCATCTGCCAGGTGACCTTAAGCTATTTATTTAATCTCTCTTGTGCTTCCTTCTCCTGACCACTGCTTACTTTGCCAGGTTGTTCTTATGTGGATAAAATTAGATAATTGGCTTTCAAAGAGATAAGAATGCAAAACTATGCAAAGATGATAATGATAGAATGATGCCATTCCTGTATTCCTACATGGGCATTAAATAGTCCAGGAGGTGAATAAAGTAGAGTATCCTGCTGGCCTCCTGGTGCCCCCTTAGAGAGAATTCTAGTCTCGACTGTTTGCCTGCTCCATCCACCCTTGAAGTCTGTAGTCACCTAGAGGCCTCTGTCCCTGGTGCGTGCAAAGTATATGGTCATTATTACTATAGATTGGCCAAGGGGTGGCTCACAGACTTAACTAGTCATTTTCCCACATCACCAAAGTTGCTTCTCGAAGGAACATGTGACTTTGTTCCCAGATAACTAGCAAGATGTGAAGGAGCCCATAAAAAGTAAGGCTGTTGCAGTGTCTGTTGCCTCAAAGTAGGTCCAAATTGAACTTTTTTTTTAAAGCATGGTCTAAGTGTCAAGGTGACATTTGACCCCACTTCACTGCTCTGAATTGCAGAAAGCAAAGTTATCAGATGAGCCTGTAGAAGCAAAAGAAGATTACACTAAGTTTAACACTAAAGATTTGAAGACTGAAAAGGTATGTGTGTCCAGGTGTAGTAGCATACACTTGAACTCCGTGGGGGGTGTTGCATGAGGACATGGGGAACAATTGCACTCTTGATTATGATTCTATCAGTTTAACCCTAAAGAATTGTTCATTTGAGTTTTTTCCTGACTTAATAGTCAAATGACAATGAAAATATTAGGCAAGGAAGATTTTTTTATGACTCAAAGAAATGCAACATACTTAGCCAACATGTGCCTAACCTTTGCTTTGTATTGAGTGATTGGGTAGAGCAGAGAGGGAAGGAGCATTTTGTCAAATCTGCTGTCCAGAGCTTCCCAGAAATTATAATGATGATAAAAGTTATTAATAACTTCACTATTCAGCATTCACTCCAAATATTTTTGTAACACTTCTTACTAAATTTTATCTTATACATGCCTTAAAATCTATACATAGCTTTTAAAATAGGCATTATATGTATTTCAGTTTTGGTTTTCACTTACTATATTGTGAAAATGTTCATATGTCATTAAGTATTCTTTGAAAATTATCAATAGTTTATTATATTCAATTATGTGTGTTATTTTACTGTGTGGAATAATAATTTAATCATTTTTTGACAATGTTATTTCTGCTTTTTTAATTTTTGTTTTAGTGAAGTGATAAGCATTATTTATAGTCTATATTTTTTATTATTTCATCAAACACAATTTAGAAATAAGAGTAAGAGCTTAGAAAACAAGTTCTTATGTGATTATTGAGATATATGATGGGTAGTAAAAATGCTTTTCAAAACTGCCATTGAAATTTACACTCCCAGCCATAATTGCTGGTGAGTATTCATTGTTCATTCTTAATACTGAATAATATTTTTATTGAAAATTTCTGTCTATCTAATTAGGCTACATTTCCTTAACTGGAAAAGTTAATTTTCCCCCAAGTCCTTATTTCCCATTTGTATTTTTGCAAATTGTCAATTTATGTCCCTTCCTTGTTTTTATATTGTTCTTAGTAATGTTTTTCTTGTTGATGTGTAATAGCTCACTCTGAACTAATGCTATTAATACTTTTCATGATAGAGGGTACAAATAATTTTCCTATTTTTTATTTAGCCTTTTCAGTTGATTTTTAGCAGTTTTAAATTTTTCTGAGAATTAAATATAGAAGTTATCTTTTTATTATATTCTTACTATTTTTATACTTAAAAAGACCTTATCTTTTCCAAGATAACTTCCCCTAAAACAGTAAACTTTCACAGTCCTTAATATCTTTTTTTTTTTAATGGGAAGGAACTTTGTGTGTGTGTGTGTGTGTGTGCGTATGTTTATTTTTTGTGCTTTTTTCCATCTCAGTTGCAATCCCCTTGGGTTTCCCATCACCAAATCACACTGTCCTTATTAGCTTAAAAACATTTTTTTCTTTATTTTTCTTTATTTTCTTTCATTTACCTGGCTGTGTGATATCAGAAGATAATCCAGTTTATGATAGCTCGTTATCTCAGTGCTTTTTGTAACAGGGACTTTTTTCTTAAGCTTCTGAAGTTCAGGCTGTCATTTACTAAGATAGCCCCAAAGCCTAAATAGTATATAGCAAATGCTCAATAAATATTGCTTGGCTGTAGCATTACATGTCCATAGAATCTCTTTGTCTGCAGTCAGTTGTCATACTTGAACATGTTTTAATAAACAACTGTTCAATTAAAGAACATTACCACGCCTGGAAGTATCAGCTAATAAGCAGGGACATTTTTTTTAGTTTCTCTCTGAAAAATATTTCTAAATGCTACTTCTCATTGTAATCTACTTGGGCACAGCACCAGTAAGATAAGGGGTTGGACCAGGATGTCAGTTAAATGCAGGGGAGAGCTTGTCTCAAAGAGACTGTCGCTTTTCACCAGCCAGTCAAAAAATAAGCCTACTAAATTATAAGTGACAAAATGTGAGAAGCACGATTTCAGGGACCATATATTGTGTCCTTAAAAGATCCTTTGACAATGACTTTGTCTCACAGCTCCCATGAAGACAGCTAATTTTTTATTCTTTGCTGATTCCCATAATTTATGATTCTGCTGCACAAGTAAAATTAACTGCTATTTATCTTCTGCTAATGCTTGCTATAGCACAGGACATAGAAAAAGCAAACAACAGTGACCAGGAAGGGAAATTTACAAGGCAGCGATATTTGGAGTCAGTTTTTTAGAACATAATTTTTTTTTTTTTGTAGTAGGGCAGCTATCCTACTGGTCTGGGGGGCTTTGCAATATGGGTTTTCGTTTGAATACAATAGCATAGTCTTTGGTTTCCCATATAGCCCATGAAAAAAAAAAATCAGAGGGTAAATTGGTATGAATTATTCATCATGTGGTAATACAGGCTGTAATTCCTCTCTGACAATTGCTGCCTGTGTCAGCCCCATTGTTTGTTGCTGCATTTAATGCACCCTCTAAGTAACCATTGGTTGTAACATTCCATTCCTTAGAAGGCGGCAGTTCTGTCTCCTGCCCCTTTTCACATATATTGTTCCTTAGGTTTGAATTCTGAATAGAAATCAGAACTTCTTAAAATATATCACTCTCTTGTGAAGCGTGTTAGCAGGGAATACTTACCTCCCTTAGTGCTTAGTGAATTTTTGAGACATGAAGGGTCTTGTTTGATTTGTACCATGACGTATGAATGTTACATTTGAAACTATTTTTCTCTTATTTTCATTAACAGAAAAATAGCAAAATGACTGCAGCGCAGAAGGCTTTGGCTAAAGTTGACAAAAGTGGAATGAAAAGTATCGATTCCTTTTTTGGTGCAAAAAATATAAAAAAAGTTGGAAAGATTTGAAACTTTGAAAATGAAATCTAGCAAAAATATTTTTCTTCGATGTGATTCATTTCATATCTTTCATGTCACTGTACTTAGCCTTCATAATAACCTTTTGCTGAAAAAAAGAGGGGGCGGTTTTTACATTTACTTGAACATTTCTTTGTATTTGCTTTTTGTGTTCCTGAACAAAATATGGGAAAGTAATTATGTAGCTTCACGTCTTATTTTACATAATGAAGAAAAAAGTGAGTCAATAGAAGTAACATACAACATCACAGTTTCCTCAATAAACTAACATTGGACAATATTTGAATGTATGCCTGTTTTTTTATACAACTTTGCCACTTGGTAGCTGTAGTTCTAAGGTTTTCAATATACTAAAAGAAATTTGATAAGAAAATTATTAGATAAGCTACTATTTTAAAGCCTTAAGGTTTTGATAAATCTTAAATGGTATTTTTATAACCTTTTCCTTGACAACATCATGTTGTGAAAATTTTCCCAGACTACTAAAGTATTCTTTATTAATATGTCTTTTTAATGACAATAATTTTTAATTATTTGGATATTTTATTTAATGATCATCCAATTTTGAGTATTTAGATAATTAAAAAATGTTTGTTGTATACAAAATTGGCTTATATGTAAACATTTGTCCACATCTTTTATTATTTCCTTAGAGTGGGTTTTTATATGTAGGATTATTAGTTCATAACTAAGTTTTCCAAATAATGTGTTGTGAGACTGTTTCACGGAAAAGTTACAGGATGTTGCACTCTGAGATGGGGATGTGATACCTTATTCAGGGCCACTGTGTTGTGAGTTTTATAGTTGCAAGTAAGTGGGAGAGAGACATTTTATTGTGGTTTTCTCATTTTTCTTCTTAGTATTGATATTGAACATTTTTTCCTAATCATATGTCAGAGAATCATCTGTATATGTCCTCTGTTAAATTATTGGAGTGCCCGTATTCTTCTTACTGACTCTAAAAGAAGACTTAAGGGTTGTTAGTTTTTATAATGAACTTATTTCTTGGCTTGTAAATCGCCTTTAATTTTGTGTATGATTTTTTTGTTGTTTACATGGGTATTATAGTTGGAGAATGTTTTCCTTTATTAGAAAGTTAACTGGTCATTTATTTTCTCCTAATTTTTATTAGTTAATCTTTACTCTGTGTTTAATTACTTAAATCATATAGAGGATTTGTGTTTAAATATGCTGTAAACTAAGACTCTGATTATATTCTGACCTGTTTGTTTTTCTTATATTAGCTCTCTTGGATTTTGTTTTGTGTGTCAGATTCCAAGAGTAAGTTCCAGTGCAGCTCTTCTTGATATTTTGTTAGTTATTTGGGGAAATAACAACATCTTTCAAAGTTCTGTGTTAACTGTTCTCACTCAGAAATAAAATATTTCTCTATATTTACTAAAATCCTAATTTTATCTTTCACTAACACTTGGTTACTTACCTTTGGTAAGCTTATTTTTAGGAAGTATCTCTAGGTATTTTTATTGCTATCAATGATGTATTTTCTTTGCTAGACCTTTGACTGTTCTGTAGTAAAGTTTTATACTTTTATAAATTATCTTCTTTAAAAAAGATTTATTTATTCACACAAGAACTGGGGTGTGGGCCAGAGGTGTGATGGTGAGCAGATTCACCAGAGAGAGTAGGGAGCAGAACAGGAGGGTTTACTGAAATACATTGCTGAGGGGAGCAGCCGGAGGGACAGGAGAGGTCTGCCATGCCATGTGGGTGGTCAAACTCATGCTGCAGTGGCTGCAGATAGCTTCATAGTGCTGACTGGGGATCAAACTCATGCTGCAGTGGCTGCAGATGGCTTCATAGTGCTGTGCTTTATCCAGTTGCACCACCAGGGAGGGCCCTTATATATTATCTTTTAAATACCAATTTACTAAACTGTTATTGTAATAGCGTTCCATGTTAGATATTTTGACACATAGCAAAGTTTGTAATCTTATTTCAAAGAAATTACTTGCAATTCTTCCTAATACTTATACCACTTTGATATGATATGATATGATATATGATATACGATATGATATGAGTGAAATATTGAGAACAGTGTTGAAGAGTACAATGGTAGTCATCTTAGTCTAATTTTTGATTTTATTAGTGTGCTTTACCATTAATCCTGACACTATCCATCTTTCATGCACCCTTCTATACTTAGTTTTTTTAAAGTTACATTATTGATTGTTGTTGGTTGTTACCAAATGTATTTTTGGCACCTCTTGAGATGACTGTAGGATTTTTATTACTGTTAAGCTACTGAGTTGCCATATGGCAATAGATAACATATAGTATAGTGGATTCTTCTGTAAGACTTAGTCATTATCAAATCTAGTTTTTAAGACGTAACATTCAGGACTTTAAAAATTTATATATAAAGCATTTTTTTTTTTGGTTTAGTATTAAAATTATATCAGTTGTCCTTTTTCTCAATGTTCTAGAAGGATTAATTTTGTATAGTAGTATTCTGTTTCTGGAAAATTTTAAGAAATATCAGTGGTAAACTGTCCCGCACTGAACCTTTTTGTTTTGTTTCATACATGTGTTTAATTTTTATTGCAGAAATGGTTATCTTTTAATAATTTACTTATATATATTATACATCATTGTTCATTGTTTTTTGCTTGATGTTTATTTTCTTCTGTATAGTCCCCATAAAATTTCTACCACCAATTCACCCATGCTCTTTCCCTTTCTCGTTTGATCCTTCTCCTTCCCCTTCCTCCCCCTTCCTCTGATTTATAGATGTCTGTTTATATTTGTTTGGTTTTGTTGTGTTTTTATTTTTTTTATTTTTTCCCTGACCTCTTGTTTCCCCTATATTCCTCTTATAAGTAAAACAATCCAATATTTTTCTTTTTCCTTCTGACTTATTTCACTGAGCATCCTTCTAGCTTCATGCAAGTTGTTGTACATGGCATGAGTTTATCTTTTGATTGCCAAATATTATTCTGTTGTGTATATGTACTGTATCTTGTGTACTATATCTTCTTGATCCAATCATGTGTTTTTGGGCATTTGGGTTGTTTCCAAGTCTTACCTATTATACATAGTGCTGCAGTAAACATAGGGCTGCAGGTGTCATTTTGTGTTAATGTTTTGAGTCCTTTGTGTAGATCCCTAGGAGTGGAATTGCTGGGTCTTATGGTGGCTCCATTTCCATAGTGGGTGGACCAGTTTGCATTCCCACCACCACTGTAGGACAGTTCTTTTTTCACCATATCCTTGCCAACATTGTTGTAGTTTTTTTAATATGTGTCATTCTTACTTGCTTAAGGTGGTAGGTATCTCATTGTGGTTTTGACTTGCATTTCCCTAAAAATGAGGGTAGTTGAACATTTTTTCATGATCCTGTTGGCTATTTTCATTCCCTCTTTGTAGAAGTGTCTCTTAACTTCAGTCCATTTTTTGACTGGATTGTTTATCTTGGGTTTTTTTGAGTTGTCTTTTATTTTCTTATAGTCTTCTTTAAAGTGCAGAATTTCTCACCTGTTCTTTATTTTGCATGCCCTTGATGTTTTTGAAGTATATAGGCTAGTTAGCTGGGATAAGATTCCTTCCTTTGAGTTTGTCTAATGTTTCCTTTAGAATAAATTAAAGTCATACCTTTTGAGTGTACACAGTGATACATGTCTTTCTCAGTGTCCCATCAGGAGTCACCGTGTGACCAATGATAGTAACATTGAGCACTTGAATAAGGTAGTGTCCATGAGTTTTACCTACTGTGTAGTTATCTTTTTTCTTTGTAATTAGCAAATTATAAACACCCTAGCACTTACAAGTATACTAGTTCTTATCAGTCACCCCCAAATTTTAGAATATATAATTGATTTTTCTGTCTCAATGATTTATCCTATTTTTACTTCTTTTATTTTTAGTTAAAACTTTTCTACAAAAAAGGGCCTTCATTTGTTTACTGATTTATGAACTTTTATCAATGTGGATATATAGATTTTTATTTTTTTACTTTAAATTTTTTTTTAATTGAGCTGACATTGGTTTACCACTGTGTATGTAATGCAGAGATATAGGATCACACCTTTGTAGGTGTATGCTACCACAGCACACCCTCTAAGTCACCCATAGTCCTCCACCACACACTCATTGTGCTCCTCCACAGCTGGCTGTCCATTCTTCCCCTTCCAAACCTTAATTCTAGAAACAGATATCTAGGGTTTGTTACTGGCTCAGTTTTTACTGATCCTTTGTTTCTTAATAGTCTGCTTATGTCTCACATCACCCAGAATTGTTTTTCTCATTCTGATTTATTTCACTTGATATATTCCCTCCATTTTCATCCTTAATTTTATAGATGGCAAGAGTGTAAATATCTCTTTTGATAGCTTAGTATTTCATGTGTGTGTGTGTGAGAGAGAGAGGGAGAGAGAGAGAGAGAGATGGCACTTAGATTGTGTTTATAACTTGACTATTGTAAAAATAGTGCTACAGTAAATATAGGAATACGTATGCCCTTCAGGTTTTTTTGGAAGAGTTTGAAAACAGGTATTAGTTTGTCTTTCAAATGTTGGTAGAACTCACTAATGAAACCATCTATTCTTGGACTTCTAGTTTTGGGGAGACTTTTGATGGCTGTTTCAATTTCCTTGTTTGTAATTGATCTGTTCAGGTTTTCTATTTCTTTACTATTAAGTCTCAGAAAGTTGTATTATTTCTAAGAATTTCCCTATTTCTTCTAGGTTATTCAACCTATGGGCATACATGTGGTCATAGTAATCTCTTATGATTCTCTATTTCTGAAATGTTTTGTGTAACCTTTCCTCTTTTGTATATGATTCTTTATTAATATGGTCTCCTTTTTTTTTGTGAGCTTAAGAGGTTTATCTATTTAATTTTTTAAAGAACTGGCTTTGGTTCCACTGATCTTTTAGACTGTCTTTTTGATATGTATTTCATTTATTTCTGCTTTAATTTTTATTCCTTCCTTCTTACTACTACCGTGGAAGTTTGTCCTTTTTATAGTACTTTAAGGTTAGATTTTCTTAATATGGGCCTGTATTGTTATATATTTCCCTCTTGGTACTCATTTGGCTATGTCCTATAGGTCTGGTAGTTCATGTCTTCTTATTTGTATCCATTTTTTTTTTAAGATTATTTATGCATACAGAACTGGGGTACAGGCCAGAGGTGCAGGATGAGAGGCTTCACTAGAGACAGGGTGGGGAGCAGATCATCAAAGTACACTGCTGAGGGGAGCAGCGGACAGGTCAGGAGAGTTCTGCCGCGCCATGTGGGTCACCTCTGGGGCTGGGGATA